CTCAGTTTCCAGTTCTATAAAACCGGCCCGACAAGGCCCATCTGAACAGTGTTCTTGGCAGGTATGAGTCTAAGAAAGGGAAAGGATCCAGTTGAGTATGTGACACAAGTAGGCTCAGAATAAACTATAGATCTTCCCATCTAACTTTCCCCAACCGTTGGGCCAGAACCTTGGAGAAGTTCCAGCCATGGACAGGAATCTGCTGCTTTGTTCCCTGCATGTGGCATAAGGATCCCACGCTTCCTGCTCGCTGCTGGGGTCACTGACCCAGGGAGGAAGGAGGGGTGGTCTCCTCCCCAAGGCTGTTCTTTTGGGCCTAGATGACCCAGAGCCATACACTAGTGGGGCTGCCCTCACCCCCCAGCCAGAGCAACAAAATCTGGGGTGAGAGCACCCTCTGACTTAGTCCGTGGGAACTCAGAGACCCTGAGCTAAATCCTTCAAGGTATTAGGGCATCCATACCCCCATCTGTCAAATGGAGCCCCCTTCCTGCCTGTGATTGCCTACATGCAGGACTATCAGGGGCTGCAGGAGCACTGGAGTCTGGTCTCTGGGGCAGTGGAGGATGGCAGAATCTTTGCTTTCGCGAATGTTCAGCCCTATGAAGAGATGAAGAGGTATCTCTGTATAAGGAGATGAGAGACAGACTTCAGAGCTCCTTCAGGCCAGGGCAGAGGAGTCTGCATCCCAGCCCACAGTACAGGGCTATGGCCAGGAGGTCTGGAAGGCCTTTGGAAGGGGCTGGGGCCTCTGGCCAGTGGGACTTCAGGAGCACCTGGACCTGTGCTTTTCACACTGTCCCTTGCAGCTCAGGCCTGAGCAAGAAGAAGGGGTGGTTTCATGGCCACATCACTGGAGTCAGAACCAGGTCAAGAGCCAGATCCTGGAGGGTTTGGATCCAGGGTGGGCATCCCAGGAGTGGATAGAAAGTGCAGGCCTGGAGAGAGAAAAACAGTGGCCAGTGAGACACCAAGGGGAGCAGCCTTGCTGTTGTAGAATTAGGGGCTGACTGATGAAGGGAAGCCCTGTCCAGCCTTGCCCTCTAGCCACGGGCGGCAGGACTTGGGAGAGGTAGAGCCCTTTTGAATGAAGTGCCCTCTTGTGTACCGTGCTCTGGGGGCATCTGTCAGTACCTGACTGTCTGGACCTTAATAAAGCAGGCCTGCAGAGATCATAAAGTTTGCCCTCCTTCCCTGCTCCCTGTTAGATGTGGGGAATCTAAAAGCCCGGGGCCCAGCTCCATGGGCAGAGGGGAGGGTGCTCTGTGTGTCCTGGCCTTCCACAGGCCGTGGAAACGGCTGAGAGACCGGCTCGCCTTTTACCTCCATGGGCCGAGCTCCTCAGGGCTTCAGAGAGGAAACAGCTTGCCGCCCCACCCGCCCATCCAGCCAGCCGGCAAGCAGAACTCCTGGCCCTTAGGCCTGGCTGCGCGCCCTGGTCTGTGCCCCTGGCCTCACTTTCTCCATCGTAACTTCAGAGTGAGGCTGGGTCTGCTGACTGTGCCTTCCTTTCGTCTTTTCCTGGTGTCGTCTTGAACTGGGGCTGGGGAAGGCAGTTGGAGGAGCTGTGAGGGCCAGGCCAGTGTACACTGGGTGGAAACAGGCGGTGGGGAGGGGAGCCCTGGCCCCGCTCCTCTGACCCACAGCTGCCTCTGTGACCCTCCTCAGGGACAATGCCATGACCTTCTTGAGGTGGTGGGAGGGGTGTCAGGCTGCCGGGGGTGGGGGAACAGCCTGCTCAGAGACCTCTGGCTGCCCAGGGATACCCACGGGGCTGCCCGTGGACAGGGGTGTGTGGCCACAAGATGGGGGAGAGGTTTTTCAGGGTATAATTAGTGCAGTTTCTGGCACCCACCAAACTTCCCCTTCCTCTTGACAATTTGCTGCCAAAACAGCCCTGATTCCTGTGGACTTGCTTAAATCTTATCCAGAAAAAAAAAAGAAAAAGAAAAAAGGAAAGAAAGAAAAAAAAAATAAGAGGGTTGTTATTTGTGAAATTGCATTTCCCAGTCATGAGAATGAGTCACACCATTTGGAACTTCAAGTTTCTTGTTTGGATGAACTTTTCTCTGGGAGGCTGGGGCAACACTGCCCTCCCCCAGACCAGTTTGGATGGGGAGAGGCCTAGAGACAAGCTAAGGAGAAACCTTGATGGCTGGAAAGTCCAGGTGCTCCCAAGGCCAGGTAGGGCTGGGAAGGTTGTACCTTCCAAGGGAGATTGAAAATGCTGATTTGGGCTTAGGGGTGAATGGGGTGTGGGGAGTTAGTGTTTAATGGGGACAGAGTTTCAATTTGGAATGATGAAAAATTTCTGGAGATGAATGGTGGTGATGTATGCACTGTAAATAATGTGAATGTGCTTCATGCTGCTGAGCTGCACGCTTAAACATCATTAAAAGGATAGGTTTTTATATAACGTATATTCTACCACAGTGAGGCAAAGCAGATTCTGGGCCTGGTAGCTGCTTTGGTAGGTCTCAGGTGGGACCCAGAAAAACTGTATTTGTTAAAAGTTTCCCAGGTCATTCAATACAAGTTTGGACACACTGATCTAATCTGTAAAATGGGCACAGTGACTCAGCGCTGTGGTGAGCATTAGTTATCTTAATGCATGTAAAGCTTCCAACGCCAGGGACATTAAAGTGCTCAGTTCATGTTACTAGTATCATCTAATCCCACTTCCGCTGGGACTCTCCCCACATCCCTTAAGGTTGTCCTGTCTTGGCTTGCATACCACTCCCCCAAGGATGGGGGACCCTCTCCCTTTCAGGATGGACCATCTGGGGCCACCTGGGAGCTGGAAGGTTGCCCTCAGACTGGATGCAGTTTCCTGTGGGATCTTCCACAGTGGCCCTTGCAGGGGTAGAGCAGAGATTTGTGACCCCACGGATTATAAGTCCATGGAATTCTCCAGGCCAGAATGCTGGAGTGGGTAGCCTTTCCCTTCTCCAGGGGCTCTTCCCAACCCAGGGATCGAACACAGGTCTCCCGCATTGCAGGCGGATCCTTTACCAGCTGAGCCACCAGGGAAGCCCAGGATGTCATCAGGAGCCTTTAGGTTCAATGCACAGTCCCTTAGGACTGACTGTGTGTTGGGCCTGAGCTGCCCTGGTTGTCATGTCTGTCTCTCCTTCCAGATCCCAGGCTTTGGTCCAAGCCTACATGAGAGAGAAAAGAGGCCCAGAGAGGGAAAGGGCTAGGCCAGGGTCACAGAGCAGGGTGTCCAGGGAGCCAAGAAGAGTAAGGGCTGTGTCCTCCAGTGAGGAGTGATGGACCTCCAGAGGCATACATGTGTGAGGTATGGGCTCTGTCCTCGTTGGAGGAGGGGTGTCTTGATTCCCTGGGACCAGCTCTCAGCTTACTCCCCTCCCTTCCAACACTGAAGGGACACAGAAAAAGAACTGTCCCCACTGGTATGCCCAAGAACTGGAGCCTAGTAAGCCTGAGCCCCGTGCCCAGGTTTGTCATCAGCCCCTGGGGAAGCTACCTCTTTCTAGCATTGGCCTGGCCCCAGGAGAAGGGTCTCATGGCCATTCCCTGCCAGCCTCACTGCAGGCCCCACCTTTGCTGAATTCCAGTGTGCCTGGCCGCCCAGAGCCCGTGACTCCTATAAATAGAGGCTGTATACACCAGGAGGGGGTCTGGGCCGCGTCTGCTTTGAAGCCAGGCAAGACATCTGGTTCCTGTCAACTGGAGGTGGGAGAGGTGAGAGAGGTGGGCCGTTTCCTCCCCGGGCTTCCAGAGAGCTGGCCCGGGCTGGGCTGAGGGCTCCCCGGACACACGGTGCACGGGCGACGGGCTGCAGGAGGCCAGGCAGAGTGCTGAACTTCAGTCTTCTCTTCTGTACAGTGGAAACAAGGCTGCCTGCTAGTCACCCCACCAGCACATGGCAGAGTTCTGGCTCTAGCAGGTGGCTTTCTGCTGCTTGTCTTACCCCCTGGCAGTGTGTAAAGAACTAATGATCACCATCATCACCATCATCATATACTGAGTACTTCCCCAGTGCCAGGCAGGAAATAAAGGGTTATGTTAGCCTCCTAGAAACGCTTGGAGGTAGCTGTCATTAATCCTGTTTACTGGATGGGGTCACTGGGGTCCCGAGTGTTTCACTGGCTTGTCTATGGATGCACAACTCAAGCTGGGATTTGAACACGGACTCCAAGAAGCCAGAGCCTGCAGGTGACTAAAGAGTTGGTATGAAACTAGGAGTAAAACCACCATATGACCCGGCAATCCCACTCCTAGGCATATACCCTGAGGAAACGAAAATTGAAAAAGACACAAGTTATCCCATTGTTCATTGCAGCACTATTTGCAATAGCTAGAACATGGAAGCAACCTAGATGTCCATCAACAGATGAATGAATAAAAAATTGTGGTACATATACACAATGGAATATTATCAGCCATAAAAAGGAACACATTTGAGTCAGTTCTAATGAGGTGGATGAACCTAGAACCTATTATACGGAGTGAAGTAAGTCAGAAAGAGAAAGATAAATATCATATTCTAACGCATATATACGGAATCTAGAAAAATGGTACTGAAGAATTTATTTACAGGGCAGCAATGGAGACATGGGCAGGGCAGACTTATGGACATGGGGAGAGGGGAGAGGGTGAGATGTATGGAAAGAGTAACATGGAAACTTACATTACCGTATATAAAATAGATAGCCAATGGGAACTGCCCGTATGGCTCAGGAAACTCAAACAGGGGCTCTGCATCAACCTACAGGGGTGGGGTGGGGAGGGAGATGGGAGGGAGCTTCAAAAGGGAGGAGATACATGATTCGTGTTGAGGTTTGACAGAAAGCAACAAAATTTTGTAAAGCAATAATTCTTCAATAAAAAATAAATTGAAAAGATCAGGGAAGACAAAAAAAAAAAAGAATCGGTATGAATTTGTGTGTGTGTACAAGCCTGTGGAAGTGCCCACGAGGCCGTGGCTGCACCAGTGGCCAGGCCTCCAGAGGGCTCACAGCCTCTGTCCCCTTCAGGCATTGAGCAGCAGCGTGTACAAGAGTGCCTCACCCTACGGCTCCCTCAATAACATCGCCGACGGCCTCAGCTCCCTCACCGAGCATTTCTCCGACCTGACCCTCACCTCCGAGACCCGCAAGCCCAGCAAGCGGCCCCCACCCAACTACCTGTGCCACCTGTGCTTCAACAAAGGACACTACATCAAGGACTGCCCCCAGGTAAGGCAGCCCGGCCCCAGTGGGGGCTCGGGGCCCTGGCTGGCCTGTGGACCAGCCTCCGTGGGTAGAGGAGGCAAAACAGCTCGCTGGGGTCCCTTCCTCCAGCACCTCGCCCCGTGATCACTGGCCGCCACTTCTTTGTCCCCTCTGGTTTTCCTGGGGCAGGCTAGCTGGTGTGGATGGGACAGAGCTCCAGCTTGGGCCTGCACTGGCCGGTCAGCAGTCTGGGAGAGGCACCCCAGAGTGAGATTCTGGGCCTTCCAGTCTCCCCTCACCCCACCCCAGTCTTCCTGCCAAGGTGGGTCCTGTTACCGTCGGGCAGGAGGGGCTGGCTCTCCTGAGAGCCCATCACCTCCCACTCACAGGGAAGGAATGTGGGCTCTGGGCCAGGAACCCAGATGTGCGCCCCCTCCCCCAGACCCCACCTCTGCCTGCTCTGCGGCCTGCAGCCTGTGAGGGGGAGGGGTGCCCCCAGTATAGGTCTGGGTGAAGGCCTCAGGCAGGGGCTTCCCAGGTGGCTCAGTGGTATAGAATCTGCCCGCATTGCAGGAGACACAGGAGACACTGGTTCGATCCCTGGGTCGGGAAGATCCTCTGGAGGAGGAAATGGCAACCCACTCCAGTATTCTTGTTGGGAAAATCCCATGGACAGAGAATCCCATGGGACAGATGGACAAAATCCCACGGGCTACAGTCCGTGGGGTCACAAAGTCAGATGCAGCTGAGCATGCACACACAAAGGCCTCGGGCACAGAGGGCTGGGCATTGCTCCCTGGGGTGGGAAAAGGGTCAGGAGCAGCCCCCATCTCTCCCCCAGTGTTTCGCTGCAACAAGGTGAGGCTCCGGGGGCAGACCTCACTCACTGGGCGACCCCTGACTCTGACAGGTGTGGCTTTGGAATCCTGGGGAGAGGTTAACTGTTGGCTTACATACAGTATGAGATTATCAGCGATTTTTTTTTCCTATTATTTTTTCATACTTTTCACTGTTTTCATGGCATGGTACTACTTTTATTTTATACGTGTAATGGAAATGGAATCCTGGAAACTCAGAAAATCCATGTAGTCTTGCCCTCCAGATGTTGGCAGCTGAGGGTGTGGCCAGGCAGGGCTGGGTCCCTCCAAGACCTGTGGGAGGGACCGAGATGCCAATCACCACTCTTCTCAGGAATGGCCACGCCACGCTTTAGGTCCCTGCTCCTTCAAGTGCAGTCAGCCATCGCCACATCGTTGTCGCCCCAGAGCTTGTTAGAAATGCAGAACCTGAAACCCAAGCCAGAACTGTGATTCCTGGTGATTCAGCCGGTGATCTCAGCCTCCCCCCGCCCCTGGCCAAGAGAGGCCCATCCAACCTGGACCCATTGCTGGCTGACCTCCAGATCCGCACCCCCTGGGCAGATGTGTGCAGTGAGCAAGGGACCCTTGGCACAAGGGCACCCTGGCAGAGGGTCAGGCCCCTAGCCCCCAGGGTTCTAGGGATGGGATGAGAAGCCAGCAGGTGGCTGAGGATCTGGCTGGTTCTCAAGGATATGCCTAGGCCCACCCAGGGAGCAGCCCCCTGTGCCTTCCCTGACTGAGCCCCCCAGGCCATTCCACACACAGGGCCTGTCAGCTCTCAGTCACCCTGCCTCCAGGGTGGAGCAGGACTCCGCCCTGTTTAAGGTGGAGATGGACACTGTGCTAAGTGCTCTCTAAGCATTTCCTTTAACACTCACATCTGCCCAGTGTGCTGAGTGCTTTTAATAACCTCCTGTTACGGGTGCATGAGCGCACCTCCTCAGAGCCCCCGGAGAGTGTTTACTGGGTGGGCAGCCCAGGAAAGCTTCTAGGTTGATGAGTAAGGGGTGACCGGTATCCAAAGGCAATGGAGGATGAAGCAGAGACAGAGGGACAGTGACCAGGTGTGTGTGTGAGTTTTGTGTATGCTCTTTCCCAGATGGAGCCAGAGTCTTGCCAACGTGCAGGATAGAGGGTGTCTCTCCTCAGGGTCTCTTGCTTCCTAGCAATGTTACACAGTGTGTTCACGAATCTTGTGCAGGGCTCTCAACTCTGTGGCCGAAGTAGGAATAATAGCCCCATTTTACAGCTGAAGAAACAGAGTCTCAGGAGAGGACGGCTGCAGAGAGGGCTGAACCCTGCTCTTGGGACCTCGGTGCTCTCTGCTTCCTTGAGCATCCTTGCTGCTCCAAGCAGAGAAGCCATAGCCTGTGGAGCCTCACTTTCTCCCTAGAGGTCCTTTTCTAGCCCCATCTCAAACCTGATTCTGTCTAGGAGCCTTCAGGCCTGAGGACCGCCCTTTACTCTTCACAAGGGTCACCATTTGTAAAATGAGGCTGTCGAGAACACTCACATCGTGGGTTGCTGTGGGGACTCAGTGAAGTAATGCATGAAAAGTGCTTAGCACAGTGCCTGGCACCCAGTAAGTGCTCAGTAACTGTTGGCTAGCATTGTTTTTGTCTCCCTTATGTCACAATGTGGAGTGCACATGCCTGGCTAAGGATTTTAGCAGGCTGGAATAGGATTGCATGCTCCCCACCTCTCTGCTGACCACAAGCCCCAGGTGCTGAACTGAATTCATCTCTGTACCCCTCTGCCTGCCCAGGTACCACACAGTGCAACAGGTGTTCAGTATGTTCCTGAATGAAGGAACAGGTGGAAACCCTTGTTCCAAATGAGCTATTATGTAAGAGCTCAGCACTTTTAATATTTAAAAGTGGAAAGCTTGTTTTGGGGAACAGCTTTAATGAGATATAATTCAACTATTTATAATAGACAAGTCGATGATTTTTAGTATATTCAGAGTTGTGCAGCCATCACCGCAGTCAATTAAAGAACTTTCTTGTCACCTTAAGAATACACCTCATACTCTTTAGCTATCACCCCATCTCCTAACAACCACTAATCTACCTTCTATGTCTGTAGATTTCCCTATTCTGGACATTTCATATAAATAGATTCATATAATATGTGGCCTTTTGTCCCTGGCATATGCTTTTACTTAGCATATTGTTTTCAAGGTTCGTCCATGTAATAGCGTTTATTAGCTCCATGATTCGGGAAGGGTTCCATCTGCTTTTACTTTCTGGAAGAGTTTGTGGAGAATTAATATTAATTCTTCTTTAAATGATTAGTGGAATTCACCTGTGAAGCCATCCAAGTGTGGGTCTTCTTTTGTGGGTAGGTTCTTTTAAATTACCAATTGAATCTCTTTATTTGTTACGGGTCTATTCAGCTTTTCTGTTGCTTCTTGAATCAATTTCTGTAGTTTCTGTATTTCTAGAATTTTTCCATTTCAACTAAACTATCTAATTTATTGGCAAGAAGTTTGTTCATAATATTCTCTTATAATCCTTTTTATTTTATGTTTTCCTCTATCATGTCTGATTTTTATAATTTGAGTCTTCTCTCTGTTTTTCTTGGTCATTCTAGCTGAAGGTTTTTTAACTCTGTTGAGCTTTTCAAAGAACCAACTTTTGGTTTGGTTGATTTCTTCTATTTTTTTTCTACTCTCATTTCATTACTTTCTATGCTACTCTTTTAAAAAATTATGGCAAAATACATATAACATAAAGTGTACTATTTTAACCATTTTTCAGTGTACACAGTTCAGTGGCATCAAGTACATTCACATTGTTGTGCAACCATCCCCATCAACCATCCCCAGAACTCTTTTTATCTTGAATAACTGAAACTCTGTACCCATTAAGCAATAATTCTCTCCCCTCCCCTCTCCCAACCCCTGGAAACTATTATTATACTTTCTGTCTCTAAGAATTTCACTACTCAAAGTACCACATATCAATGGAATCATACAGTATTTATCCTTTTGTGATTGACTTATTTCACTTAGTATAATGTCCTCGAGGGTCATTCATATTATAGCATGTGTCAAAATTTCCTTCCTTTTTTTTGCCTTGTGATATATTTTTATTAAAAACCTCCTTCCCTTTTAAAGGCTAAATAATATTCCATTGTGTGTGTGTGTGTGTATCCATGTGTCTGAGTGTCTACCACATTTTACTTGTTCATTTATTCATCAGTGAACAACTGGATTATGTCTACCTTTTGACTGTTGTAAATAATCCTGCTTTGAACATGGATGCACAAATATCTTTTAGTCCTGCTTTCAATTCTTCACTCTAATCTTTATAATTTCCTTTCTTCAACTTGCTTTATGTTTAGTTTGCTCTTCTTTTTCTAGTTTCTTGAGGTTCAAGGTTAGAATACTGATTGTACATTTTTTTTTAATCAAATGGAGGTGTTTTTAGCTATAAATTTTCTTCTGAGCTGCATCCCATAAGTTTTGGTATGTTGTATTTTCATTTATCACAGCATATTTTCTAATTTCCTTTGTGATTTCTTCTTGGAGCCACCAGTTATTTAGGAGTATGTTATTTAATATCCACATATTTGTGAGTTTCTCAAGTATCCTTTTTTAATGATTTCTAATTTTATCCAATTGTGGTTGGAAAACACACTTTATATTATTTCAGTGCTTTTAAATTTATTGTGGTGTTTCATGGCCTAAAATTTGGTCTGTCCTGGAGAATAGTTTATGTGCGCTTGAGAAGTATACAGATGGGTGGAGTATTCTGCAGATGTCTATTAGGTCTAGTTGGTTCATCGTGTTGTTCATGTCTTCTGACTCCTTGTCGACATTCAACCTAGTTATATTGTAAATTATTGTAAATAGGGGTATTGAAATTTCTATTATTACTGAATTGACAATTTTTCTTCAGCTCTGCTGCTTTTTGATGGATGTATTTTGATGCTCTGCCATTAGGTACATCTGTGTTTACGATGGGCTTTCCATGTGGTGCTGGTGGTAAAGAATCTGCTTGGCAATGCAGGAGGAGCAAGAGACACGGGTTTGATCCCTGGGTCAGAAAGATCCCCTGGAGGAGGGCATGGCAACCCACTCCAGTATTCTTACTTGAAGAATCCCATGGACAGAGGAGCCTGGTGGGCTCCAGTCCATAGGGTTGCAAAGAGTCAGACACA